AATTTGATTAGTCTCACCTCCATCGAGACTCTTACAATTTTAGTTTAAATACTCGTAATTAAATTAGTTTCATAGTTTGATTAAAATTTATTTATTTTTTTTAAATATGGAGCAAATAAAAATGCTATTATTGATCGATTCTAAACAAAAATAACTCATTTTAATGTATATTTAATCTCAATAACTAAAAAATATACTGACAATTAATTTGAAAGAATTGTCACTTATTTAACATTTAAAAAATAATAGTAGTTAGGTGTCCAAAATATAAAGTGTGATTGAGAAAATAGTAGTTTGTGCAACAAAAGTGGATATGGATATTTCACTCGAGTTGTACAATGTATTTTTTCTACGACCCACTAACGAAAATCTACAAATATTAAAAATTATTAATACAAAATAACGAATTTTAAAATAATTTACGAACTTTACTAGTGTTTAAAATGAAATAAACGGCATAAAAATTTACATAATTAGTCCCCCAGCCCAGATTCAATCCCGGGCTTTTCACGTGGAAGGCAAGCGCTCTTTCCTCACCTTCACTGCCAATTTTAGGATTTTGGTTTTAATACTTGTAATTAAATTAGTTTCATATAGTTTGATTAAAATTTAATTTTTTTTAAATATGGAGCAAATAAAATTGCTAAACAAAAATAACTCATTTTAATGTATATAATCTCAATAACTAAAAAATATACTGACAATTAATTTGAAAGAATCGTCCCTTATTTTAAATTTAACAAATAATAGTTGTGGTGTATCTAAAATATGAACTATGGTTGGTGGATTTAATTTTTTGCAGTGTTCTCACTGCCTAGAATGCGTACATAAGCTAATATTGATGTAGATGTAGAAAAAAATTATAGCAGTCGTTTGAACAAAATATGAACTAATAAGCCAAATATAATTTCAATATAATATAATGACTATTGGGACACTCCGACATTTAATGTTCGGATATATTAAACTTTTTGGATATCTATGTGACAGACAATAGGCACTGAATGCACTTTGCATTTCTTAAACAAAACAACTTTTTATGAAATATAAACAATATAAGTAGTAAAGGTGACATGATAAATAAAGAATTATAAAATAAAAATTATCAAATAAAAACGGGAAATAAAAAATCAATTACAATAAAAAAAAATAAAATAGAGTAAAATAAAAAAACTCAAGCATTGTCATAATAGTTACTTATCAAACTATCATTGAAGATATCCGAAGAATTACAGTACAGGTTAAAGTTATTACACATGACATTGAGAGGTGAGCTTAATAGAATATTTGTTCTAGATCTATTACAGTAAAAAGTTAAGTGATGTTTGTTATTATACTGTGGAACGTTTAAATGAATTTTAGCCAAGATAGCAGGACAGTCAATTCACTCATTCATGATTTTATGTAAACAAGTCAATGAAGCTAAAATTCTCCCAAACGCAATACTTTCCATGTTAAAACTGTCCAAAAGTAGCTGATAATCAATTCCTCTTGGCGGGTAGACACCATTTACGATTGGTATTTCAAAAACTTCCTTTGAACAGATTCAACACTAGTTATATGAACATTATAATAAGGACAGTAATCAAGCTTAGTGCGGATGTATGAATAATATAAAGTCTTTAATGCTCCAATGTCTTAGAATCCACGACAGTTTCGTATAACAAAACCATACATTTTTTGCGTCAGAAACTTTCATAATAATGTGCTTAACGAAACTCAGCCTTGAGTCGAAAGTGACACCCAGATCAGTGATTGAGGAACAACATGACAATACCAAACCATTAATATTATAATAAAAATCTATAGTTGATCTTTTTCTAGTGTATGCCATCACTTTACACTTCGATGCATTTAACATTAACCTATTTTGCATGCACCAATCTGACAATATATCTAGGTCCTGCTGAAGCGCTAAACAGTCATACATATCTAATACTGAGAGGTATATCTTAAAGTCATCTGTATAAATGAGTCTATAAGAGTTTAAACGAGATCATTAATAAATAACAAAAATAGCAATGGTCCAAAGTTAGAACCTTGAGGGGCGCCTGATTTTGCAAAGTACACCTGTGACGAATGACGGTTATGAAAGACAAATTGCTGCCTTTCAAGAAGGAATGACATACAGAACCTTATTAAGGTCTAAGAAAAGCCAAATTGGTTCAATTTATCAATCAATATCCCATGATCCATTCTGTCAAAAGCCTTTGAGAAATCAGTGTAAATAACGTCTAGTTGCCTACCTGCATCAACCGGTTTAGATAAGTGCTGAGTTATTAGAAGTAAATTACTTTCTGTAGGCTTTTTGTTTAAGAAACCATGCTGAGAAAGCGATATTAGGTTGCGGACTGAAGAATATATGTGATTATAAATGACAATCTCAAAGATTTTCGATAGATTTGATAGAATAGATACAGGCCGATAGTTTTTGATCTCTGTCTTATCATCTGATTTAAAAACAAGAATAATTCTTGCCTCTTTTCACAGCTCTGGAAAGCCCTCTGATTTTAATGGTAAATTAAATATGTTTAATGGAGAGGCTAGTACATAAATACAGTCTTTAACAAAAAAATGAGGGGATGTCATCAGAGCCAGAGGTCATTTTATTGCTTAATTTTTTACTGGCTTGTACGATGTCTGAATCGGTGATATTGCCAATTTTAATGATATCACCGTAGAATTTTGATTCAAATAAACTAGCCCTATCCTGCTGTGGCTCAGATGATGTTACAAAAACTTTCAAAGAATTGACTAAACTTATCAACTATATCTTGAGGATTCGTAAATGATTCGTCTTCAAGCACCATAGTGCCTGGAATACGTGAACTTTTATTTTTTGAATTAATATATGACCAGAACAAGCGAGAATCAGTTGTTATACTACCCTGGATTTTATTAATGTAATACTTTATTTGCTGTTTGACTTGCGATCGGATTAGTTTAAAATATGCTAAGAAACGTCATCATTTGTTCTTTTATATTTCTTAAGATATTTTTCTTTCATCTTAATATTTCTAATAATGACGGAATCGAACCATGGAGGGAATTTACGCTTGTAATTCTTGTAAGTAGGAACAAATTGGTCAAAAATTGAGTACAAGGTAATATAAAACTGATGTAAAGCATTGTTTACATCTTTGTATATCAATAAATAATCCCAGTTAATATTCATGAGAGCTTCATATAGTAACGGATAATTTTTATGATGCACTGGCTTTACACTATGGTTGTAGTACCTGTTATAACTTACTCATCAGTCATATGGTGACACAAAACTAAAAGCATAACAGCTAAAAGAAAATTAGACAAGGTACAAAGACTAGCCTGTCTAATAATAACAGGGGCATTTAGAACTACGCCTACAACAGCAATGGAGCTACTGCTAGGTCTTCCTCCACTACACCTTGTGGTGGAGAAGGAGGCTATAGCGGCGGCATACAGGCTGTTTACTAATGGATTTGGATGGGAACTTTCGAGAAAAGGACACCACACAATGATATTAGACAAATTAAAACAAAATCCGGTACTAAGAATGCCAGCGGATAGAACGCCCATTATTCACGACTTCAGGAAACCTTTTGATATTCAAATACAAGAAAGGACAAAAAGCCGGGAAAAAAGGGAAAAACAAAACGAATCAATCTGGTATACAGACGGTTCAAAAATGAAAAACAGCACAGGAGCTGGGATCTACCATGTGAACAGTCTTCCAGGCTGAAGTAACAGCAATAAATGCCTGCGCCAAAGTCATGCTAAATGACTCTCTTCGAGATAAGAGAATCGTTATCATGACAGACAGTCAGGCAGCCCTTAAAGCACTAAAAAGGGTAGAAGTACAATCTAAATCAATATTTGATTGCCAACAGTCCCTCCAGGCTCTGGCAGAACATAACAAGGTAACTCTTGAATGAGTGCCAGGACATGAGGGAGTGTTTGGAAACGAGAAAGCAGACCTCCTAGCAAGGAAGGGAGCGGAAAAAACTCTTATTGGACCAGAACCCACATGTGGTATCTCATACCAACTTGTTAAATGGGTGTTAAAGGAACAAATAAAAAGAGAACACCATAGGCTCTGAATGGAACTTCCTGGACTTTGACAGTCCAAAAGATTCATAGAGGGGCCATCCACGAGCAGACAACATCAACTGCTAAACCTTAGCAGAAGCGAACTCAAGGCCGTAATACGACTCCTTACGGGTAACTGCTGTCTTAGAAGACACCTAAATCTCTTAGGAATATCTGATGACTCCCATTGTAGAATATATGAAGAGGAGGACGAAACTCCTATTCACATACTATACCACTGCCGGAACCTTAAATGGGAACGGGAATGGTACTTCGGGGTACAATATTCGGAACCTGAAGAAATCGCGAAAGCGCCCATCAGACATATTCTTGAATTCATCAAGAAAATTAATCTGATGGGATAGAAACTGTGAGGGGTACAATAAGCCTAGAGCTTCAGTACAAGTGGGCTTTGAACCCCGCCCTAATTCAGATGATGATGATGATGATGATGATGATGATGAACGGATAATTGGCACGCTTGAAGTTATATGCTTTTCGTTTTGAATTCAGTTCAAATACATTGGGAACATTAAAAAGATTATTAACTTGAATACTTATATAAAGAAGGATGATATAAATCTTCACTGACAATAGAAGGTACATTACGACAAAACCAAGAGACTTTTTTTAGAAAATGTCCGCCATATTGTATCTCAACAAGGTAACTACAAATTCGTAATCAGCTACCCACAAACCGCTATATGCTGATTTTCGTTAAAACTAAGCGAGTTTTTTCAGGATCTATCCGCCATATTAGATCCGCCATTTTGTATCCTGACCAAATTTTAAGTCTTTTTACCTAAAAATTACTGATTCTTCAAAAATAAACTTTTAAACGAAAATTATTTTTATTAAACCAAAATACTAAAAACATAACGGTTATAATAATCTTAATAGATTACTTCCTTGTAATTGTTGAGGAAGGATGTGGCCTTGTTACATTCTTTGTGAAAAAAGTTGTTGCCATTGTTGAGGTAAGACTTGTCCTTGTTGAGGAAAGACTTGTCCTTGTTGAGGTAAGACTTGTCCTTGTTGAGGTAAGACTTGTCCTTGTTGGATTTTATTTGCTAAAAGTTGTTGCCATTGTTGAGGAAGGACTACTTGTCCTTGTTGGATTCTTGGTGCGGAAACTTGTTGCCATTGTTGAGGAAGGATTACTTGTCCTTGTTGGATTTTTTGTGCTAAAAGTTGTTGCCATTGTTGAGGAAGAACTACTTGTCCTTGTTGGATTCTTTGTGCGTAAAGTTGTTGCCATTGTTGGGGAAGAACTTGTCCTTGTTGAATTATTTGTGCGAAAAGTTGTTGCCATTGTTGAGGAAGGATTTGTCCTGATTGGATTTTTTGTGCTAAAAGTTGTTGCAATTGTTGAGGAAGGATTTGTCCTGATTGGATTTGTTGTGCTAAAAGTTGTTGCAATTGTTGAGGAAGCACTTGTCCTTGTTGGATTTTTTGTAGTAAAAGTTGTTGCATTTGTTGAGAAAGAACTGGTCCTTGTTCGATTATTTGGGCTAAAAGTTGTTCGGGAACTATTTGTTGGTTCAGTAATTGTTGACTTCCCAAACCTTGAATTTGTTGAATATTTTGTTGTTGGCTTTGTTGGATTTCCTGTTCCAATTGTACGAGTTGTTCCAAATTTTGCAATCGTTGCAATTGAGATATTTCTTGTTGGTTAAATACTTGGGGAATCATCAATTGTTGGCCTAGTTGTCCCAAACTTTCTACTTGCTGCAATTGTTGGACTTTTTGTTCCAAATTTTCAAGTTGTTGCAATTGTTGTGGAACTACTTGTTGGTTAAGAATTTGTGGTATGATCTGTTGTTGACTGACATATCCTTGCTGTCCTCTCAAAAGTCCCAAGTTCAATGGACTTATTTTTGATGGTAGTCCTTGTTGAGAAAGGATATTTTGGCTATTCACAATGTTTTGGCTGGATAATAATTCTTGGTTCAAACCCATATTTTGTTGTCCAATTTGCTGGAGGATCAATTGGAATCGTTGAGATGGACTAAGGTTTTGTATGTTTCTGCTAAGATAGAAAAAGTATGTAAAACATCTCAAAATACAATTTTTTTAACAATTTGTGTTGCAACATTGTTTCTAAACATTATGCAGTTCATATTTTTATAAAAAAAAATAATCTTACCTAATAATTTGTTCCAACTGGGCCATACTGTTAAGTTGTTCAATGTTATTCAAGTTGTTAGATTGAATAACGTTGCTCAACCCATTGGCCTGGGACAGTGCGTTGAATCCACGTATCTGTTCAAAGTTGAAGCCCTTTAGTTCTTCGATCAAATCCAAATTTTTTAAAACTTCCAAGACTATTTGGTTCAATACTCTAGATTGGACTAAAGCTTCAATTTTTCCCAATAATTGTATGTAGGATGCTTCATTTACATCACCTTGATATTGACGAAAAATGTTAACAAGAATATCAGCTTGTGAAATTTGTTGACTTGGAATATTAAAGAGTCCTACTCCTACGTTTCTGATATTATTGACTTCGTCAACTTGTAATTTCCTTGGAGGTCCAAATGGGCTGCTTAGGATAATGTTGACTTTAGATGGATCCATAACACTTTGGAAAATATCTATTTCTCTTCCTAGGTTTCCAACTATGCGGATAATTCCACTTTCCGTCACGATAACGCGTTTACCAGACGAAATTGAGGATGCCACACTGAGGGCTACTAATGAAAGAAGAACTAAGACCTTCATCTTTGTGAACTGTGGAGAACTGTGATGTTTGTTGAATTGGTCAGTTTTTTATAGTAAGTTTTGAGTGAGTTTTTTTTTTTCATATTCATATCCACGACAGGGCCGGTTTAAAATATAAAATTAATATATTGTGGTTTTAATGTCAAATTGTTCGATTCTAAAATAAATTAAATCAGTAAACTATGGTTGAAAATAAAACACTGGTATTTAGAACTTCCTGTTCCACAAACTATTTATGGCTTACATTTTGTTCTCTTCAACAATATCATTTATTTGTTTCTATAATATTAAGTATTAATTTACTTCAGATGTAAACAAAGTTACTGAAACATGTTAAAGGGGAAGACGAATTTACGGACATGGCGTTCCATAAGATCCATATTACCATGATGTTCGCCAACATTCTAAAGGGATAGGCACAATTAGAGCTCTCAGTAAAACTTTGGATTATCTTATAAGAAATTCAGGCATATTTTCATGCCTTGAAATGTTTGAACTCTCAGACAGTCGTTACCTCTATGTTCTTTTTGTAACATAAGAAATTAGTATGTGTTTCTGTATCTGTAACTTGTGGAGGATGGGTTAACACACGGCATTTAGGCCTCACTAGACCCATTGTGCATCCTCCTAAGTAGATAGGCTCCTCCTAGCTTGTGAGTCAGTCTACAGATTTGATGTAGTTAACAACGTCGCCAAGAGGTGCTCCTGTTATGTCAGCTGGTGTTAGCCAATTTTTGCTGAACACAAATCTAATAAGCGTCGGGTAATCGTAAAGGATATGCTCGATGGTCTCATCTTCTTGTTCGCACCCTCTGCAGAGTGCGGATTCTGACAGCCGCATTATATGGAGATGCTTCCGTACTTGGCAATGATCAGTCAGAATGCGCAGATTCTGTCTAGTCATAGTCAAGTATTTGTTTACTGTAGTGTTGTCAGGATAATTTAAAAGCTACATGGCAAGTCTGCAGCTTCTTATTTCATCTCATCTTTCCTTGAATTTCACAAGGGCATGTTCTTTAATTAGGTTTGTCACTACCTATGTTGTTAGTTGGCTAGTGATTCAGTAAGACGGTTACCTTTCGATGTGGCTTAACCATTGATACATCTTAAGGCTTGTTGATGGATGCTTCGGCCAAAGCTTCGTGACATTCTAATACTAACCCTGAGTAAATCTGTCGTTTGTCCAGGGTGAGTAGTGCTTGCCTGCTATTTGTATAGATGAGCATGTTTCTTCCAGTAATATTGTATCTGGTGATTACTTTCGCTATGAGAATCCCTGTGATCTCGGTAGTATGCGTTAATGAAGACGATGACGGTTTGAAATGATACAACCAAATCTTTGACATGGATCACTGGCCACTGCGAAAGTATTCAAAATACAGGAGCAGCAGTAATATGGTCCGATCATACTCCCTCAGCTCGGAACCCATTTAGACTGTAATATATAGGTAAAATGCATGAAGAATGAATGTGAAGGAATAGGGCATCCAAATGGTAGTATAATACGCTATTAAGTCAGCATTGCCACCATGCAAACCCCATAGGATAGAAAGTTCGGCTGGAACCAAAGCCGGATTAAGGGAAACCAGTAACTGGACCCAAACCTGATTGGGGAGCCTGTAAATACCCTTCAAGTGGAAGCAGAGGGATGTCTGAAAGGGTGAAAAATGCAAACAACGGTATGAGGTCCTAAATTTTGCTAACTTATGACATATTTGCATAAGTAGTACAGAAACTATTTTACAAAAGAGTAAAATTTAAACAATAATTATATTTACCCCTTAATGAAGTATATTAGACTGTGATTAGGGCTTTAAAATTTTCAATTGTAATTGATATTTATTTCCACTTTAATTACAAGAACTATGTTTAGTTTGGAATGTTTCACTCCATAGTCTAATAAGTAGTGTAACTTGACTGTTATTGGTTTTTCATTTTATTAATGAATTTATTAAATGTGCTAGCCAAAAAAACATCCCAATAAAATAAATGCATGACATACCAATTGTCATTTAAAGGAAAATAATTGTGATTTATCTTCTTGTAAGCTCCGACATGGGTGATTTAATCCATATCCAATTCAAGAGAAAAATGCTGGGACTCACACCCTATATAGGTCGTAGAAAAAATCATTAACGTAAAGGCGTGAATGTTTTTCCTTTTTTTAAGGCAGTTTAGAATTAATTCAAAGGCGTACACACTTATCACGGACATGACTCGTATCTGTTCTTGTCAGTCTACTTTAGAGTCTACTTTAGAGTCTACTTTAGAGTCTACTTTAGAGTCTACTTTAGAGTCTACTTTAGAGTCTACTTTAGATTCTACTTTAGAGTCTACTTTAGAGTCTACTTTAGAGTCTACTTTAGATACATTTTTCGTGGATCACTCACCAGTAAAGATTTCAATAAATTATTTATATTTTTCTCATTTAAAATTGTTTCTTCGGGATCTTAAACCGTCCCTGACCAAGAATATCACCCTCGCAAAATAACATTCAAAGATCCGGGAGGTTTGGGTTATTAAACACATTTAGTGCGAAGTTATTTGATAAATATTAATTAATTTGTTTATTAAAAATATATTTTTAGTATTTAAACAACAATTGATAAGATGTCTGTCCAATAAAGATTATTAAGAGTAGGGGTTAATGATTTTGGTAGTAGTATGTAATTTTTTTAAAAGTTGCATCTTTTTTTCTAATTATATATTATATGATAAAAAAATACAATTAGTTATAAACTATGACCTATTAGTTAAATGTACGAAGAAAATACTCAAATAAGATTTATTTATTTATGATTTTTAGTATAATATCGTTTTTAATAATACCTGTCTTGTACGGCGTACAAACATAATTTTTGTTTTGTTATGTTTATAGAAGACACTTGAAAAAACATCCGTTGTGGGTTTATCTTTGCAGATCTGCAAATATGGCGGCAACTTTGCAGATCTGCAAATATGGCGGACTTACAGATGCAAGTATCCAAAAAATATCTGCAAATTCGCAATATTTATTACCCCTAACAACACTAAATCCAAATCCACCCTTAAGAAGGTTAGAATAACATCCTACAACCATGAAGTCTTCTGTTTCTTTTGATTGAATACAGTTCATGGTGTCAGATTATCGAGTTTTTAAACATAGTAATGGATTTGGGTTTAGTATTGTTGGGGATAATAAACCACAATAAATATTGCGAGTTTGCAGAACTTTTTTGAAATACGAAAACTTGATACATGCACATGTAAGTCCGCCATATTTGCAGACCTGCAAAGTTGCCGCCATATTTGCAGATCTGCAAAGTTGCAGACGTTCTGTAATCTCACTATTAATGTCTACATTTTAGTGTAGGTACATTTTAAGAGGAATCAGGACTTTTCCTAATTTGAAATAAATTCCAGATGCTTTATTCTTTATTCGATTTTCATGAAATTTTTTGTAGTTAATTATAACAATTTATTATTTGGGACAAAAACATTTTTTATTATTTTAATACATAGTGTTTCCGGATCGGTGAAACGACTCTTGGAAAAGACAGAATATTTACTATTTATATTAGAATTTTTTGTGGTTTATACCTGCTTGGTTAAAGACTAATTTACAACACAATTTCTGTTATGAGAAATCAAGAATGTCTTGGAAATTTTCAAAAAATATATTTTTCTCCAGAGTTAAGTGCCTTTTATTTTGCAGATATGACCAAAAGATATTAAGAAAAGTTGTTTAGAATCACCATCTGGGTTTATATACCAAGATAGTAGCTTTTCGGTAACAGATACGTCAAAAAGTTATTTATAAAAGCTGCTTGAAATAAAATATATTACATTATGAGTGTGGAAAGTAACATTTTTTGCACGAGTGAGAAATATCGTCGTGCGAGGCATAAGCCGAGTGCGACAATCACGCGAGTGTGAAAAATCACTTTCACACAATATTTTTCTTACATCCACAAAATAATTTTATCAAAAAAATGTAAAACTAGGATCAGTTCTGGATTAGTTCTAGATCATTTCTGGATTAGTTCTGTATCAGTTCTGGCTCTAAATCAGTTCTGCATTAGTTCCAGATAAGTTCTGGATTAGTTCTGGATCAGTTCTCGTTCTGGATCGCTTCTAGATCAGTTCTGGATCAGTACTGGATCGGTACTGGATCGGTTCTGGATCGGTTCTGGATCAGTTCTGATTCTGTATCAGTTCTGATTCTGGATAAGTGCTGGATTAGTTCTAGATTAGTTCTGGATTAGTTCTAAATCAGTTTTGGATCGGTTCTGGATTAGTTCTGATTCTGGATTAGTTATAGATTAGTTCTGGATCGGTTCTAGATCAGTTCGGGTTCTGGATCAGTTCTGGATTAGTTCTGGTTTCGAATCAGTTCTGGATTAGTTCTTGATCAGTTCTGGATCGGTTCTTGATCAGTTTTGGTTCTGAATCAGTTCTGGTTGTGGATCAGTTCTAGTTCTGGATTAATTCTAGATCAGTTCTGGATCGATTCTTGATAAGTTCTGGATCAGTTCTGGCCCTGGATCAGTTCTGGATTAGTTCTAGATCAGTTCTGGATCGGTTCTAAATTAGTTCTAATTCTGGACCAGTTCTGGTTCTGGGTCAGTTCTGGATTAGTTCTGGATCAGTTCTGGATCGGTTCTGGATCAGTTCTGGTTATGGATCAGTTCTAGATCAATTCTGGATCGGTTCTGAATCAGTTCTGCATTAGTTCCAGATCGGTTCTGGATCAGTTCTGCATTAGTTCTAGATCAGTTCTGGATTAGTTCTGGTTCAGTTCTGGATTAGTTCTAGAGTCATGTCGCATCATGAGACCACACCAAATCAATCGATAGAGTAAATTTGAATCTTTGAATCTAAGACAACACGTACTGGTACTTTTTAATTAAATATAGTCAGTCGCATGTCCTACAGAGAAATTTTGAAAACGCATTTGTTTTAATTTTTTTATAAATATCTGAAAATGTTCACGTTTTTCTTTATTTCCTTCTCTCCCTATCATATAAACCCTATCATGTGATG